CTAAATGGTTTCTTCACAACACTTATATACCCATATGATGTTTGTGAATAATAATAATAATAATGGTAATAATAATAACGGTACCATAAAGGTTATAAGGAGAGGTGTAGTCGAGAGTGGAGTCACATCCTAACAGTTGGCGTGTGAAGCGTCTTTGAACATCTTCCACTCTTGACTTTGGTACTCGTGTTTGAGAAGATAAAAGAGCAATATTCAAGGGAGGGTCGTATACATGTTTTGTAAATGGTATGTTTAGCCTCTGTAGTGAAGAAATCGCTCATTATGAAACCAAGTAGCCGTCTTTGTTTAGAAATAATAAAGAAGACATGTTCTTCAAAATTTGAGTCTCCAGTGTAAGTAATACCTAGATTGTGCACTAATCAGAGTGTTTGAACCCTAATTTTACTTAGTTCCAAACCATAGGGATATTTCCCAAAATGCATGATCGCACACTGGTTGAGGTTAAATGGTAATTACCACTTTTTGCTCCAGGTAGTTACGTTATTGAGGTCACTTTGAATCTAGGATACACTTTTGCTTGGAGCTTCAGGCTTAAAGCCGTACACTATTTTTAGATCATCAGCGTATAAGTGTGTTCCCTCAGATATTATGATGCTACATACATCGTATATACACACAAGAAACAAAAGTGAGCTTAATACACTTCCCTGGATGACTCTGTAGTGGCATTGGACCATAACCACACAATCCTCAAAGCTGAACACGAGACTATTCAGAAAATAGATATTCAATATTTAACGCGGAGAAATACCTAACGATGAAGAAGACGGGAACAAGGAGTTGAATGAGAGTTGATCGAATGGCATGGCTCGGTCATGCAGGCGTGGTCCTTGTTGAATGTTATCTTATATCTTTTGTTCATATTAAATATATTGTTCTATCTCTTGCCTAAGCTTGTTCTACATCATGTATTGGTACAATACGATGAGTTGGTGTAGACGATGATGCGACTTCCACGTAAGATCTTATAGATTAGGCAGTTAAATCATGACAAATCTAAGATTTTAGGATTAGGTCTATTATTAGAGCAGTACTAATATCATAGCAGACCATAATTCTACAAGTTCAGGCATATTACATAATAGAGAGTATACTCGAGAGTGAGTGTATATAAGGCATCCTGCACCTCGTTCTATCAATCTACCACTTCTATATAGGAAACAGTTATCAAGAGATGTACTTAGGTCGGAAATATTACTGTTAGTCCATGTTTTAGATATCATTATATGCTATGGTTGATATATGAATACAAACAGGGCTAAATCCGTCTTTTTATTGCAGATCGACCTAGTGTTGATAAGACACATTAAACGAATGGCCTACTAAGTTAAAGTGGATGAGAGTATCTCGAATAAAGTTGTCATAACCCTCGCGGGTGTGATATGGGTTTAAAGTGAGGAATTGGATGTTCTTCAATAGCTCGGTATTTCGATAGCTAGACTTAGTGGGAGATGTATCAAATGAGCTAGTGAAGTTGATTGGGGAGTTCATCCATGAGGAAATGGTGAGAGTATTCGCTGGTGGAAACTGTACGGGGGAAGCAAACTTATGTCCTGCATGTGGTTTGAAATGACTTAAGCTATATGCTTCAACAGAGGTGTCACAAGGGGTCGTATTCCGAAAAAAGATTTTAATGTAGGATAGTTGTTTACCAAAGTAGGCAGAAATGTATAGGAATGTGTGAGTTATAGGGGGTGTATTCCAAAACATCTGGTGCATGCCGGCTGTGAAATGTACTGTCATTTACAAAACAGTCTTGTTGGTTAGGCTGGTAGCCTCTGTTATAGTTATTTATGTTAGTGCGAACGTGAGAAGTATCTCTTTCACATAACCGGAATTAGCTACGACTGTTATCATACACGGGAGCCGTTTTTATGTTGTGGGTCGGTACTAAAGAGTATGAAAAGTTCTCTTTCTGAGAGTAATTACAATTGTGACCCTGAGGAATGTAAATGGGGTGTGGGATGATTGACCTGTTATTACCATGCTTATTAATGGTTTTCGACTTTATGTGGTGATACATTTTACTAGTCTGCATGTAAAAGGTGTTGTTACACTCAGACCTACTACCAGTTTCGACACTTAGAGGTATTGATGGCAAGTTATATGACATCAGTGGGAGAACATGTTCAGTGTTGTTGGGATGCACATAGAACAGTTGGGTTCAATCTGACGTGTTTACCCATTCGGTATGGTGGATTTTGCTTGCCCACCTTTTTCGTCAGAGCCGGAGAGTTTCTTTGTCTTTGTGAGATGAATTCAAGTTTAGTCCAGTCATCTTGTGGAGTAGCTTTAGGAGGTCTAGTTTTCAAGTGAATAGGTTTAATCAGATTTGTATCGTTACATGGTTCACTTTTGAGTAATTTACTGCGCGGACAACCGGGATTAAGAATATCGTTATGCTTCTTGGTGACAGTTGGTTTCTTTATCTTATGCAGAGGTTTCTGATCTGCAAACTACAGAGTGATCTGCCGTTTGTGGAGTGATGTTGTGCTTATTGCTCATATGCTTTGATCTGTTAACTGTGTTGCAAACTGTCTCTAGTTGGTTATTTGCTGTAATATTATCATGTAGTCCTTCCCCTTTACGTCTTCTTACACGACATTGGCAGGGCGTTAGGTCTGGAGTAAATTTTATGCTCTTGTATGGAATCAATATGCTAATACGTTTGCTCGAGCATCGTTACGACAGTCAAACTTAAACAGAATAGGGCATGTCGACATATCCGACTTTTTTATAAGGCGGTTGATTTCGTAGTCGACGTTCAGAATACTGCATGAGCTAAGGCAAATATCCCTTAACTTATTTGGATGTGTGTGGTCAGTAAGATTGTATGCAGCTGCATTTTAGGATGACATCACTATTTTCGTCACTTCTTCCTCCACAAACTAAAATACACTCAGCTTTAGTAAGCTGTCCAAGACTGTTATCAGTACTAGGGTTCCATATGTGTGTGAGGGTTGCTAATTCGTTAAATCTACCGTTAATGTTGGCTAGAGAGTTTTGTAGCTGACGGATATCAGTACTATATCGATCAGTATTTTTGTATGTGTAAGATAAACTATTATACACTTTGGTTTTTAAATTTTTAGGTTTAGGCCTTAGTAAAGATGCCGTTTGGTAGACTGTGTCGACCTTTCGACGCACGTGGGTATCATGCCCTATATTTCAACCAACCTTACGCTGGCATGCTTCACAAAGAGATAGAGTGGTTGTTACATGGAGAATCAGGTAGTGATAGTGATATTTGTGGATAAGACGCGTAGGGTTCAGAAGACAAAGGGGTTACAAATTTTGACCTTTTAGTTGGCTTATGAGTTGGTGAACTTTCTCTTTTACTAGTGTTACTTGCCATATTTTGAAGCTGTGTGAGTAGAAAAATCGTTTAATTAAATAGAATATATGAGTATATAATTATTATTATGTATTACCTTATCTCTGCTTGGTGCTCATGCATTCAATGCGTCTGAATAAGAAGGCAATTTTGCAGCTATCTATGGTTTCAACCAATTACTGTGTCATTTTTCTTAATTTCTTCCAGACAGTCTCTGTAAACACTTCTGTTGTCTGAGCTGTTCAGTAAATTATTATTACCGACTAAAATCAATGGAAATTTGTTGAGTTTCAAGCACTTGTTTGATGGCACATATTTTTCTTACCGATTGTATCGGCCAACTGATGTGCTATGAAAAATTTGTTTTGTAGAGAAATTTCCTGGAAACAGTATTCGGTGTTAGTGAATATCAGAATTGTGTTTCTAGTGCCTCTTCCTGTTGACAATTAACAAAAAGCATTTTACAACTTGAGTTAGAAAAGTAAAGTCGCCTCCGTTAGAAACGATAATAAATAATAAGCTCATTCGATGAAACTCGTGAACTTAACTGCAATACCAAGCCGTAAATAAATGGACAGTGATTATGATTATGCAGCGTTTTAAAAAGTACTATAACTAGGCAGAGTAGCGCGTTTAAATGGTTGCAAAGCAATTATTATTACAATGCAACAACATAGAAACTTATCTTTTCTATCACACAAGAGGTGAGCAAATTAGATTCTGTAGACTGTTCAGCGATTGTTTATGGTCTTACTTGTACTAAGATTTTCATCGCTCGAAACGAGGGAATTGCAACATGCCAAAGACTTTACAGGTCAAGAAACGATTATTTTCTAGTCGGTCACCAACTGACCTATTGAATTATCAATAAACCACAATCCTGACATATGTCCGCAACTTTGGTCATCGCTTTCGAAAGAAATTTGGACTGATCACTTGGTATGAATTTTCAGTAATAAAACAGGAAATTCAGACTTTCATTGCTTCTAGACTGAAAGTAAGATCAAGGATTGTACGCTGTTTTATACTGGTTCATTGAAAACATATTGGTTTTATATTTTGGGTTATAATTTTTGACCTTTACCCGTCAAGGCAAAACTCTCAAGGACGTAACCGAAGCAATAATTCAAATCCTCTCGTCATCTAGCCCTCTAGGCGTTGCTTATATTCAACATCGACTAGTAATAATTCTCTGAACTAAGATTGTATATATTTTGTATATATATTGTATATATTTTGCAGTAATAGATGGCAAGTATTTTAATGACTGGATTCGTGTTCTTAAGCTGTTTGTGAACGTCTGCAAATACGTAAAGACTTCTCACCAGATTCTGCTCTTTTGAAATTGACTAGCACTTTCACCTAACAGTTATTGATCATCCAGAAACGTTTAATAGCAGAAAATTCTCGAAATCTTCATTTAAAAACTAAATTATGTTTCGGTTTTCACAGAATTTTGTAGTGATAATTTACACAAACTTAGGGGAAGATTACCAAATTTCTTACACCTTTGGGGAAAACCCTAAAGTAAGGAGACTGGAACAATTAACATAAATTCACTTTCTAAAACTCTCTATATACTTTGTTTTCGTTGGCTAAATCTTCGATTGTAACAGTTCTTATTAATGTTCAAAAGACTATCAACATGGAGAACAGACCACAATGCAGTATATCACTTAATTTAGTTGATAACAAAGAACTACGGTCGCGTATCAGGAATTCAATGTAAGTTTAGTTTATTTAAATATATCCGGTTGGACTAAATTTTATGTACGATTTTTGCGCAATACTAAAGTGACCTTAAAAATGTTCACCTATTAACTGCATCACAATGAGATTTATGAACCTGTGGGAAGAATAACGATTATGATTTACAGTTGATGGTTAAGTCTAGGCATTAGAATAGTGTTTTCATCCTGAACGAACTTAAGTTAAAATGCGAAAACGCTACTTAGCCAAATAGATGAATAAATTTTGCTTTTAAAGTCCAGGACCTGTTATCCTAAATTTGATTGTCTCGTCCATAAACTTTGGTCTCGCCGAAATACTCCTTCCTTAACACTTTTATTGTCCTCATTCATCAAATACATGGGGTGTAGTCAAGTTGATAGTAAAACTGACTATTCAGTTTTCTCATACCGATCAGGGCCGTAAGTCAAACTAGTCGTGAACAACGTATACCATTTGGGTTTTATTTGTCATTATTGTTTAAAAATACCACGTCAAATACCATGGCAAACTCGTATAGTTCTGAAAATTGTTTCGAGTTTACTATAAATGTGCCCCCCAAATGCCCTGGTACGGCCGAGAGTGGGGAGAGTCTGCTCTCCCTCTCGAAATGCTCTCGCATGGCCACGCGTATATAGCCTCTGCCAAGGAAGTCCTACTCACTACCTTCTCGCACCACGGGTGTTGTTTACAAAGTTGAGAGGACGAAACGCGAATGTCCGGCGCTTTATCCGGGTTAGCGGACACGGAGAGTCCACCTAGGGGAGTTGTAAAACCCTAATTCCAAACCAATGGTGCACATCGGCTGGCTCCAGGATCCTGAAGGAACAAATGGCATATGAATCAATCGTTGGTCACCGGCTACCATAGGACTGCATCTCGTTACGATGCTCCACTGTTTTGTGGATCAGACCTTTAGGTTGAAGGCTCTGGGTGTAGCCTCCTACGAAAACCACCTGCTCCGGTTTGGGCACCTGAGCAGTATCACAGCCCTCACAAATATCAAATGAGATTTGTGTGGCGCATATGTAGTTGGTGCCTCCTTGTACCAATATCTATGTGTTAAAATAATAAATAAAATAATAATAAATTACTATAAATGTATTCAAGGAGGGACTCATATTTTCCTATTTGTACCACCTTTTCGTATTCCCTCTAGTTTTTTGATTTAACTAACCGGGTTCCTTTTTTATCACATTATGTGTCTACGAATGGTAATGACTTAGTTCATCCATGTCGCCAACCTCAGGGATTCCAATACCAATTAAATAACTTGTAGGAAAGTGTTCTTTTCATACTCTTGTATTTTCTCTGTGGATTGGTCCTAAAATACTCCTGGGAAAGTACATGAAATGCCTCTAAAATAGTTATAACACTTTTCTGTACCATAACATCTAACCACTAATTTCATTCCTATTCAATGAATGCATACCAGGAGATAATATTTTGCGAACTTCACCATTCCTTATATGTCCTCAATGCTTTCCGAATTTGTCATCCAGTTTTTACATAACAGGCTGGTAAATAGGAAAGTTTTCATTTGCTTTTATGTAATGAAAATAAAGGTTATTTTGTTTTTGTTTTCATACTTCTCAATTACCTTGTTGGCTAAAACATTGTGTTAAATTGGCCGTAATGAACATCATTGAATATGTTTTCAAGACAAGCACGTATAAATATATTCAGTCCATTTTTATTTCCTTATCGGTCATATTTTATAACCGTCAGATGATAGCGAGCTCTTCAACTACTTATCAAGTGCCCAACAAGCTTTTCACGGTATGGAAAATTTTAAGCTTAGTTAGATCGTTTTGGTAGAGATTAGTTTTATGAGCTTTGACCTATCATTGTATGTTTATTCTGGTTCCCCCCTTTTGACCTGATTGTTTTGACATCGGTGCCGAAATCTCCATGGCAACTGGATAAGTAGTGTCATATATGTTGATAGGGCCTGTTTTTTGACAGATTTTTGGTGTTGGTTTGTCCATCTCATTTGCGTTCTCGTTTCTTCAGTAGGACGTTAAAAGTGTACGTTTTAAAGGTAGATAAATTTTTACAATAAACGTAACTGTCCCATTTCGTTAAAACAATGTGAGGTTTTATCGTAGCTCAACTTAATACTTCTGGAAATTGAGCTATTTCAGATTATTTTTTAGCATTTCGTCTATTTTGAATTATCTGGTTTTATTTGCTTTATATTTAAAATTTCACTCAGTTGAGCTTTCTAAATCAGCCCACAAATTAGTGTCTGTACAACTTTGCAAGAAAAGTGTTACTTTATCACAAGGTTAATCGCTTAACTTCAGTAATTTTTAGCATGCGAATTCGGTGATTTATTTGTGTATATATTATTTTGCTTCTAACTCCATATCCGATACTTGTTGCTGTAAAACTGTGGTCTATTGTTTTGACCATCACGTCACAGTTTTTATTTTTACCTGAACTAAATTAGTTCAAAAGTTTTATTCCTAAGTCTTTCATAATAAATTTAACTGTGTCAATTTATACCAAGTTTCCATGTTTTTGTTTACCTAAAAATGTGTATTCTGTAAATTGTCAATTCTGTTTATATTAAGGGGTATCGGTTATTGGAATGCCTATACTAAAAGTGAAAAGTATTTATCTGAAAAACCAACAAATATGGAAATTGATTCTGCCGAATTAGCAAAGCATAATAAGTCTGATGATATGTGGATAGCTCTAGATCATCAAGGAAAAAGTAAGCCTAGTTCTTGTTATTTTTGAAAGTCTGAAGACTTCATAGTAATTCATATCTTCTAAATTTTTTTATGAAAGTCCTTTTATGCACAACTGATCATTTTCATGGCTTGAAATGATCATGTATAGTACATATAGTAGGGATTTTTTTTTACAAAATGCCGCACATCATCTGGATAACATCTAGATATAAACACACCATTCCTAGTCCACTCATCATACATTTTTATGTTTGATTTTTCTACCATATGCGGCACCGTAGTTGTTTCTATTCCTTTACTTTCCATCATGTCATTTCCTCTCTATGTTGATGCGAATTAAGAATATAGGCAGATAAACATGTGTGCTAGGTTCTAAGCTTCTTTTATGACCGACGAAACCCAATTGTAGCAAATAAATCGTTTTCAATATACGCCATAAATCATGTTATAAAGGAGAATCCTATTAATGACTTTTAGAAGTGGGATAACTTGTGCTTATGATACAGTTCTCGACATAAAGTCTACCAATAGTTATTTGATTAACATTATCAACCATAAGGTCGTACCTTTCAATGCCACAACATCTACTGTTTGGGCAAATGGATAATATCACTAATACACACAGTTTTGATTAAAGCCTTTGGTTAGTAACTGAGATAAGCTAACACCTACCTACATTCTCTTGAAATTTTTTAAAAGTTATCTTCATTTAAGTTCAAAAACTTTGCTGGATTTAGCTAGTTTGTTACTGTAACCGAATTGTATATCGTTTTTTGTCTATTTTTTTCCTTTTATTAGCTGTAGTATATGATATCACAAAATTTGCGGCGTATCATCCTGGAGGTGTTGATATACTGTTGGAATATGCTGGAACTGATGCTTCAGAAGCATTTCGAATGGTAGGTCTATTACTTTGTTCGATATTAACATAAATTAGGCAATCGAGTTAGATTGACAGTACTATAACACCGGAACGTTATGTACCTTACGACTAATTTCCATCAACGACCAAGTTATTCCATGGATCTAGTACTTTATATAAAGGTTTAGTGAATATTAGTTTGCAGATCAGATTCATCCCAGACGAGTGTAGTTTTGGATACTATTAGAAACCAGCGATCATGGAACACCTGTCTTATCTCAGTATGGAATACTAACAACTAACAACTCGTTCAGGGATCAAGGTCAAAACCTTTAGAGATCAGGACAAGCTTGTTAACTTCCACTCAAAACACGATTGATGGTTAAATGATAGGTATTTTAGCCCTATCTCTTTTATTTACAAAAAACGAACAATGTATGTAATCGTGAGCAGTAATAAACTAAAGGGAAACGAAACAATGGGACTATAACAAAGCATAATCAATCTGTTTATCATAATCGTTGTTTACAAACATTTAAATCTATTGCAAATGAGACTTTCTGATGTTATACTACAATTGAGGTTTAGTAATAGGGTCGTTAATTCTGCTGCTCACAATAATAATACTAACAATACGAATAGTAAATCTTTTGCTTTATTCTAATATATATGTTAAGGTAAACGCACTAAATATCGGTTCACTAATGGATATTATTATCGATCAAGCTACTTTTATTTGAACACATAAATATTAGTGCAAGAGGGCACCAAATATATATGCACCATTAAGATTGTATGAAAGTACTTCGATGTGATTTTCTACATCCTCAAAATATCAGATATCATGATATCATGTATCCATAATATTCTAGTTTGTTTTTTAATTATCATTCTGTGGGAAGGGTTGGAAAATGTACCTAATAATGTGGTATCGCTGGGCATAAAACACCCAGTTATTAAACATCATCTTTAAGTTGGTGTTGAAAGGTTTCTCAATTGATTCAATGGCAAAATTTGACAGATGTGGGGGGGGGCACTTCGAATAGTATATCATCATGATTGTTGAAATGTTTTCTTTTCATGCGTTTGATTAGATAGTGGCTTGGTGGTTAGAAAAGGCACTTTTTTCAATAAGTAAATCGCGGATTCGAATCCAATCCTCCATCTACTTCGTTTTTTGATGCATTCAGATAGTACTACAACATCTTACACAAAATGTGTAACTCAAACCCGGTTACATAAAGCTATACTTGATAAATGAGTTTTAATCCTTACTAATGAACGCTACTTGTTTCCACTTTTCTATTATTGGTTATATTTAGGTTTAGTTATTTTCCAAATAGACTGTTCCAATGTTTCTGCGTAGACGAACCATTGTTTTGACTTGCATCTGTTCATGAACATTAAAACCGTAGGATTGAAATTAGTTGTTGCTCAGAAGTATGTCATTAATCAGATGACTGAAAGCATTTCAATTTGATTATCATATCTTACACTTGAATAGATATCAATGAGTTGAAATATAAAGAATGTATATGATGTTGAAATGATGAAACACAAGACAAATTTGTAATGATCAATATTTGCAGTTGTGTATCAAACTTTAGCATACTTATGAATGTGGTGTAAATTACCATCAATCGTACTTTCTGATAGCTTGCTACATTGCTTCATTCTAGTCACCAGTGAAATTTCATTCTTTTTTATTTGGACTGAATTAAATCTGTTTTGCAAAGTAGGTAGTTAGGTACTAAATATACTACAACCGTTCTATTTGTTGTTTAAGGTCATCTATTTTGTTTAGTAATCTTTTTATTTTGTTTACAACCATATTTATTATATTTTGAACATTTGTCTTACTATTCAATCGTTCCAAAAAATGTTCTTCACAACATTCCTTAGATTTATTTGAAATGTTTTTGTGGTGATTGATTTAATTTGTAGATAGTACTTGTGACATATTGATCTCATTCGGGGCACTACTGAAAGCCAAGGAGGAATGGACATCTGTTTCGTCCTAGTATGGGCTAACTCATTAATATGTACCTACAATCCAACCGGAGATTGAAACCAGGATCTTCAAGTGTAGCGGCTAGCACTTGACCATTAGAACTATAGGGTTGGCATCTACTGGTACAATTTTGACTTCAATTGACTTCTAATACAGTTTGATATACTTCAAGTTCTTAAAGTTTTACTGAGAACTTGTAACTGATGGAGTCCAGGCGTGTCGGAAGTGAAACAGTTATTACCAATGGCATTACGTGTCGTCGCGCTACGCCGACCTTGTGATCTTAGTAGTTTAAATCTTTCCTCCAAACTCGGTCCTGGGTTTGATCCCAAGTGGGGTTATTGGTGAGCACTATTAAGAAGTCCCATACTAGAACGAGGCAGATGGATAGTATCACCTTTGGTCCTTAATGAGATCAATCTTTGGTAAATAGTACCTGCAAATTTTCTAGGTTTGTTTATTTTACTCACTGTTAACTGTGAACTATATCATCGAACCAGTTTTCAGCATAAAATTGTATAATAAGCAAACGAGGTGATGATGAAGTGATCGTAGGATTCAGCTTACATTCCTTAAATTTCATGTTTGAACCTCACTCTACTTAAGTTATGAAACATAAAAAATGTGATACAAAATGGATTATGTAGAATAAGTATTTATTTATTTGAACACATAAATATTGGTACAAGAGGGCATCAAATATGTATGCGCCACACAAAACAATGAGAATTCGAAGAAGAAAAACAACGAACAGATTAGTATGAGGTAGTTTAATAATAATAATAGCAATAATGGGGGAAACGGAAAGGTACAACCAGAAGAAACCTTTCAGTTAAGGGAGACACAACCACTTTTTATGAAGAAAGTAAGAGAAGTTTACAGCAGGATCGCCACTGGCTTCTATTCTGAGCCATATCTGATAACGTCTCAAGCCACTATGTAGCACCATCTCTCGGACCCCAACCATTGAGTCGTGAAGGACCAACACAAGCCAGCCCTTTGCAGCTTCCTTTCATACCCCGACACCATGTCATACACTGACAGAATAAGTACTTTGAATTAAACGGACTACACACAGTGATTCTGTTCAACACAAAAGGAAAATTTCATCGATATAGATAATAAATACTTTAAAAGTTGACAAACAGATTTTATTAGAATTTTGATCATGATAATAACTCATTTTCTAAAGTTCATTGTTTTCTTTTATTTTCAAGGCACATTCATATGTTAGCACAAATATGATATCTAGATTACAGAAAGGTTATTTAAAACAAAGTGCACCTGGTCGAGGTGGTATACCTAATCGTAAGTTCTCATTTATCACTTAATCGTTGATATCTTTATTTGCATTCTTTATTGAGTCTTATAGTTTACACCACGGACTGACTTCTGTTAGTGAATACCAGGAAACATTAAACGGTTGTTTCGTCCTAGTATGGAACTCATCAAGAGTACACATCCACAACCACACCAGAACCGAACCCAAGAATTTCAGGTCTTACAACGAGGGCTTAACCTTTACACCTCTGAGCTGGCATCCAGTGGTCTACGTATGTAAATTAAGCCACTTCTCAATATTTTGTAACCATTTTCCAATGTCATTGGTTGGTAATGGCATCATGCTCAACATGGTTGGACTCTACATGTTGTGGCTTCTCATTAGATTTCCAGAACCTCCCTCTTGAAATGATTGGTCTGTGAGCATATAATTACTATTAGCATATTCATTTACTTAAACACATAAACATTGGTACAAGGAGGCAACAAATATATATGCGCCACATAAATCGTTCGATCTGTGTGAGGGCTGGGATACTGCCCGGATGCCCAAACCGATATATCTGGTTTTCTTAGGAGGTCACTCCCGGAACCGTTGACCTAAAGGTCTGATCCACAAGGTAGTGGAGCAACGTCAGGAGATTCATTTCCATGGAAGCCGATGACCAACAATAGGTTTACACGCCACTTGTTTCCTCAGGATCCTAGTGCTCATGTTCACCACTGGCTTGGAATCAGGATTTTCCAACTCCCCAAGGTGAGTCCTATGTATCCACCAACACGGTTAAAGCGCCGGACATTCGATTTTCGTCCTCGAATTCGTACACAACATCCCCGTCGCAAGTAGACAGTGGGTAGGACTTTCCTGGCAGTATTATTAGCATGGAAGGTTAAATATTGATTTCGTATGAAATTTAAAAGTAAACTGATGTTATAAAGTGCTTGGTCTGATAAAATATCCATATGAAGTACAAATTAACAATTGATTCATAATGTAAGCAGATAATAAGGACTTGTGAAAAATTTTGATCTGAAATCTTCTGAATATCTTTGATGTTGCAGTATTGTCATTCTGTTAACCAAGTACTCGACATTTTTTAAGTTACCCTGCTTCGTACTAACTTTACTAGAAGATGAAATAGGGGCTCAAAAATGATACCCAATGATTGTGAATCACTTTTGGTATATTGTACATTTTATGTGTTACAACGATAGGATTTAAATGGCATAACACTCTTGGTATGTTTTATATTTTGCCAACTCAATCCAACCACAAACATTCATTTTTTAATACTTGACTAAACCAGCTACACGAGAGTAAAAGACTGATAATCCGTAGGTAGCTTAGCTTCTGAAGCCTAACTCAAGTCTATATAACACATAGGTATATATGTATATGGTTGTCATCATGAATTGATGATAATACTCATTCATGATTCCACTAGGGATGTTCACTTATGGTTTATTAAGGAATCTCATGCTAAAATAGGACAGGTGCCCACTGATCCTTAGTTACCTAGTTGGTGTCAAGCATATCAATCTAAATATTATTTTATTTAATTAAGAATAATAATGTGTGTATAAAATCAATAATGACCTGTATCATGCATTTACTAATGTGACAAATGTTCTATAATCTTCTACCTTAACACCCGACTTTTCTAATGTTTGTTTACGTTTATTATACAGCAAAATTTCTTTTGTTTCAATGCTTTGATGTTATGTATAAGATGACTGTTACACAATACGAAAGAATCATTCAGCAGTACTACATATCATTGTATCACTTCAATCCATTAACAATCTAGGAAACTAAGGATTATTCAGAACGAACAGTCAATAAGTTGTTTTTTTTTTGCTGTTTCCAATTGTACATACATAGTTTTGTGCTAATCAGCATTAAAATAACTGTCGACAGTTTACAAATGATTGACGATTAATTAGTGACCAATGTTATGTATGTTAAGTCCTTCTTAGTGCAGGTCGAATTCTATCGATCAATTTGCAAATGGTTACTTAGTCTAAGTGAGTTGACATGGGATGAACTATGTTGAGATGTAAAATGATAAAGGCAGTCGATAGGAAACTCTGTACCTAAGTTTTGTGCTATTTAGCACTTGTCAGCAGGATGTATTAGTAATCTTGAAGTAACTGATGCTTCCTGGCGGATTCGTTCTCATGTCACGTTACCACTGAGGTATTCGAGCCGCGACTGACCTCCTGTAAGACTGAACTGTATTCACAATTAATAGATCTCTAAGTAGTGATCAATGTTATGTTTGTCAAGTCTTCAGTCCTCATTCAATTCGATCGATCAAAGAGAAGGGATAACACTAAATTCATACCTTGCTAACCAGTGTCAAGTAGCGCGAAACCTAGGTCCATAGTTTCTTTTTGACTACATCCAACCATCACCTTATATGTCAAAAGTATCATTTTATCAACAGATTGTTATGTAAACGATTTTCAATGGTTTAAAGGCGGTATTACCTACAATTTTTTCGTACTTCTTTTTCTTGTGTTTCATGTCTATTTAGAATTATCTCCATTCTTTATTCCATCGAAGCTTCGTCTAAACAGTACAAAGAAACCTATGTGAGTAAACAACTTTTTAGTATTTGAGCGGAGAAATTTCTTCGATCAATTCGTTCCTCCATTATTTACCAAATGTCAAAATGGAAATTTTCTAGTATCTTTTAGTAGAAGTCTATGTATATGTTCTAAAGTTTAAGTTAACAAATCAACTGGATTTTAGATTTTGTTGTTCTAAGTAATATGTCTTACTAAATGTCTTCAGCACTCTCCGCAACACAGTAAAATTGTTTTCTCAAAAGCTTGGGAAAGAATAATGGTGGTCTTGAGTGCTGTTAGAGGCATGAGAGCGGCCATCACTTCTCGGTCGCCTACACCGTGGAAGTGTTCTCCTGGAGGTACCTGAAAAGAGAATTGGATTAAAGGTGGTCTTAGAGACCTGAGAGCGTGACCACAATGCCCAAGGGACAACTGCTTGAGATCGGTCACACACGATTTTTCTGTGAGTAATTTTTGTGTTAGCTCTGTACTTGTTGAGACCTTACTGCCGGAGACGGATATCCGCGAGATAAGGCGAGGTATGCATTTGTAGGGTCGACCTTTTTATTATTATTATTATTAATGGCTCCTTGTGAGAAGGCATCATCGCTACCATGCTGGTTGTCTGAAGGAAACACTTTACTGCTGTCACACCTCTGTACAGTCAGCAGTACGACTTCGCCTTCGGACCTTGGGTTTGTTGCTTTTAGTCTTACCGCTCTTCAACCGACCTGTCTGGCATGGTAGGACCTTGAGGAACGGTTGTTCCAGCCAGTTTATCTCGGTTGCTTCATCACGATAGACAAGCCCGACCACCACGTCAAGGTATCAGCAACGGTCGAGGAAAGAATATAAGGAAACAGTAAATTCTAATAAGTAATATACAAGAATTTACATATCGTTATAGTGAATATCAATGTCAAAAACATATAACTTCTGTATTATAATACGTCAAATAGAAAACTTTCTTTAATATCAACAAAGCCCAATCAGACTAAGAGAGAGATAAGGGAAAAAATAAACTTCCGTTTTTATTACAGAATCTATTCTCTCTGTATTTCTTTCTATTTTCTATTTATTTATCATTTCAGTTGGGATTGGAAAGAATACGATAGTTATATTGAATTGATTATTAATTATGGGAATAATAAAGTCTTTGATAAATTTTGTTATGAATTAGATAGATTACGAGTACTTTGTACATGGACTAAATGTGATCAACATGATAAACAAATGAATTCCAATGGTGTACTTATGTTACGTACAGTTTTAGATAATGAATATCATTGTTTGAAATTGAGTAAGTTATGCTTTTTTTATTTTCATTTTAATGTATTACAGTATTTATTTTCATTTTGAAAAGATCTATTTAATTCTTTGGAAACTCGATTTCTTGTTTACAAATCACAGTCAGTCAGTCAGTCACAACGTAGAACCAGGCACATATATGCATCGGTCCAAGTTGCCATACCTTATTAGCGCAACAAGATCAACATCGGATGCATAGGAGTAGTAATATATGAAAGAAAGATTGTATATAAGGATATAGTACAGTTAGAAAGAATGATATGAGGCGATTTTAATCTCTTAGTTTAAGGGAAGACAAAGAGTGTATACACCTACGCCATTCTGATCGATTCTGAGCCATGTCACCAAGAGTCTCAAACCATTGGTTACGATAGTCACGCGGACCCCAACCAAGTAGTCTGCATCTACCAACATGGCTTAGACTAGAATTTAGTCACTTTGTGGACTGATACCACGTTTTGGTTTAAACACTCTTAACTTTCTTCCAACCGTCTCCAACACTAGTCAGCGTTGCACGTCGTGGTAATCGGTGTTCAGGCGTACACAATCAACGTGGTTTTAACTGAACATTGTCCGAGTATAGTGTATAAGCCATGATTTGTGTTCAACTAGAATCCTAGGAGACACTGGAGGATTATTTCGTTCTAAATTGAGATTCTTCATCAGTAACAGTATCCACAATCTCGACAGAAATCAAGCATGTGACTTTCAGATGAGTTTACTATTCAGACGTCTGCTTTGTAATTCCTCTTATGATTGTGAAATATGGTCTGTAAAAGTGGAAGAGATAGATAGACTGTGAGTTTTTGGTCATAGGTATCTTCGTAGTATCTCTCGCGTATCATGGTGTAATCAAATTAGCGATTCCGAGATAAGGATGTGAAATTGATTGATGAAGTAGTTAATCTTTTTGTTAACTAAGGTGGTTGGATCATGTGTTACATTTGTCGAAGCACCTTCGGCCTCAACGCGCATTGTTTGCTGAAATAAAAATAGGTTTAAAGAAAGCTAAGTGCAGTCAAATCAAAACACATGATCTGTGCATTAGTTTGTCTACTATTGATCGGAAGGGGAAATTATTCCACCAGCAGCCAGAAGCATGATCACTAACGACAGGCACAAATCAAACGTATATATACACGGCATAAAATTGTCCTTGGGAAGCGTTACAAAATAGCATACTAAAAGATACAACGAACCAATAGCGTTTAAACTCCTTCCAAGTGGGAAATACAACATGAAGGTGAAAATGAGTGCTTTTAGCGCGAAAACAAGAAATTCAAATTTTCAACATAGAATTACAAAAATTAAGCATTTACCATGTGAGTTCTGAAGGATCTAACATCTCCAACAATCTTAAAGAATCATCTCATGTAATCATCAGGAATAGTTGACTATCATTTAATCCGAGTTTTTTTGTATTTTTTTGTTCGAAACTTATTGATTTTGCGATTTGTTTTCTTTCCAATTATTATTATTATTATTTATTGAATATACATCTAGGACTATGTGCTCAACTTCGTCCAGATTTGTGTACACTTTGTTTGAATCAATCGGGAATTGGGAATTCGAAGTCATTGTCTTCGCTTTCACCACCACCACCATCATCATCATCACTATTAAAACGAATAGGGGAGGGAGGTGGCAGAGAAGGAACAATCCAGTTGAGTATCAATTTAATTAAACTCCTATCTGTTACATCATCATCATCATTATCTTCAATATCTTCTTCCTCATTTCCATCATTATCAGTACAACCAAATATTGGTAGTATAGAATTAGTTGAAAAATCGACAAATAATTCATTTAGTACAATTGGTGTTGTACTTCGTGATATTTGTATTGGACTAGATGTTGAAAATAGTTCCATTTCTAGTAAGTTTATATATATATATATATATATATATATATATATATATATATATATATATATAATTTTCATAGAAACATCAAACTATACTTGGTATTGTTTACTCGACTCTTCCCATTGATGCTTAGGACTGCAATTGATCAGTCCCTTATTGGCATGTGTGTGCACACTGTGCGTATTGTCTCAATATTGCCTTAAGTAACAAGCACTATAAACAAAGATGGATAATGGTTAGCAGTGGAATCCATTTTGATGCGCGCTTTTCGTCCTATTTGATATTCGTCAACATAAGTAAGTGGCTATCAAGACTCAGTAGCTGAGTGGATAGCACGATGGCATTTGAAGCAAACGGTATTGAGTTCGAGTCCCAGAGTAGTGACACATAAACTCTGAGATGCAGGTACATCTAGTTGACGCTGCCTAAATTGGACGAAATGTGTACATCCCGGTTTCCACTGCTAGCCACTATCTGTCTTTGCTTATTACTTGAATAACATAAATTTACTATAAATAAGTATTTATTGTAAATACTTCAAATCTAGTTAGTAGTTAATGATAGACAGGAAATTATTAGATAATATGTAACACCAAATCATTTTTTCTATCAAACCTCCTTTCCCCTCCTTTTTTTGTTACTAAGAGAAATAAATACAAAATAATCGTTTTGTCTCATTTATAATCCATGAATGATAATATCTTGTCATTATTGAAAATTTTGTCCATTTTTCACTTGGTAGACAATGTATATCTTTGCTTCTTTTTTCCTTCTTAAAATGAAAGCCAGTTTTAATGATCTTATCAATTTTATTTTTGCCATGGAGATTATCACTATGTCATGTCCTAATTTATTCACTCATTCGTTTTTTGTTTGGACGCATATAAATTCACTAGAAACTACCACCTTTTTTTGGGGGGGGGCGGAGTTTTACAATCTATTTCCAATCTCTATATATATATAGTTATATCGTAATGAATGGAAAAATTGTATTTCTGATGTTTTGTGGCTTAATATAGGCGACTTCTTCAGAGTAAATAAATAAACGTAATTAAATATTGACACCAGATTAAATAGTACAAAGGAAATAGTGCAAAATATTTTTTTTAGTACAGTCTTAATAGGCCTGAATTTCTTATTCCTTGTCAAAGTGGATTTGTACAACCTGTCGCTGTCAAATGGTTGATTTGTCTGATATCTATGCTGATAGTAGAAAATAATGAAAATATAATACTTCATTCAATTTGATTCCGTGTGTGAATTTGGTTAGTGTATGAACTATAATAATTGAGGCAGAATACATGCATAAACGTAGTTATTTCATGATTTCTTAACTGGTTACAGTTATATTCATAATAAAATATGAAGTCAGTCAGCTACAACGTAGGACCAGGTATGTATGTGCATCGGTTCAAGCTGCCGCACCTCATTAGCCTAAGATGAACACCAAATTCATAGAAGTAGTTACTTCAATTGTAGTAATATATAAAAGAAAGATTATGTATAAGGATTTAATACAAGAAGAACGACGTAGCAATATATACATCCATCAAACAAAGGACGAAGTTATTGTACAACAGTTTGCTTTGTTCTACTTTATGGCTGTAAAATATGATCAGTAAGAATACAGGATATTCGTGGGTTACTATTATTAGATCATACGTACGTTTAAACCATTGCACATGTTTTTTGTTGTTGGGACAACTGAAAGATGCTGAGGTTGGCCATACGGTACTAGGTAAGTTAGTTAATGTATGGTTTTCAGATTTGACTAAGACTTTTTTAAATTTTGTATTCAATTATATTTAGTCGTATTCACTGGTGTTCTCGTTCACTACAGCTTCATTCTCTTTGAAATGATTGTTTAGGAAATAGGCTTACTTTCCAACTATTTCATAGATGACGTGTTCGTTTGTTTCAGCGTACTTGTCGGTGAATTGTTGTGAGTGTAGACATTTTCAATAAATGCAAGTTCTACTATGATGTATGCTACTTATGTCGACAGACATAAGCAGTATGTAGCACCAGTCGGAAGTTAAAAACCTGGCACCAGAAGGCTATAAACGTCGACTTGAAGAAAATAGAAATGAAGTATGAATTGAAAGAATCATACAGAATATGAAAGACAAATGATGGAAATTTGCAAATGAAGTATTTAATGTATGGTTTTCATATTTTACCAAGATACTCTGTAATTTTGTATTAAAATATACATTGGTTATCCTCATCTGTCAATCAGTCAGTCAGCTACAACGTAGGATCAGGCACATATATGCATCAGTCCAAGTTGCCATACTTCATTAACACAACAAGATGGACACCGGATTCATAAAAGTAGTTAATTCAGAGGCGGTAATATATAAAAGAAAGATTGCAATAAGGATATAGTACAGGAAGAAGGATTTAGTACGTAGAAAGAAAGATATGAAGCGATTTTAATCTCTTAGTTTAAGGGAATATAGAGAGTGTATACACCGACGCCATTGTGATCCTCACCTGTATTCTCATTCAGTACACTAATACTATTCAAAACCAAGAAGCATTAAATTACTATTCTATTCCAGTCTAAAAATTCTTAACAATATACATGACCAAAACTTGTCCATAGGATCGAATTAATCATTCTTTATTTCAAATAATTAAATCCTCCTTGAAAGAAAAACAAATAAACAATGAAGCAAATATCATTACATGTAAATAAACAAAATTTGAATTAAATTCCTTTGATATTGTTTTACTTGGATCTTCCCATTGATGTTTAGGACTGCAATTGATCAGTCTCCTATTAGTATATTGTACATAGTGTGCGTATTGTCTCGACATTGTTTTAATTCACAAGCATTATAAGCAAAGATGGATAGTGGTTAGTAGTGGAATCTAGTTTAAGGCACGTTTTTTTCTATTTTGAACTCGTTAGCTGAACGTACGTACACCCCAGAGTTGATGTTCACTCTTGAACTTGATCATAGTATCGTTCGCAATAAACACCATCACGTTATTCACTTAATTACTGAGTCCTGATAGCTACTTGCTTGTGCAATCAGAAGATTCAAGTAAACAATATTAAGTGAATTTAAATTTCACCCCATTGTACAAGCAAGTAACTATCAGGACTCTATCTAAGTCAGGCAAATGGTACTGGGTTGGAGTCCCGAATTGAACATCAACTCTGAGATGTAGTCACATCCATCCGACAAGTTCTAAATAAGAAGAAGTGGCGCCTATCAAACTGTATTCCATTACTAACTATTATTCATCTGTAAACTCTAACTTCAATGATATCTAATCATTGTAAACATATTCACATCTCAATAGTTGAGATCATGAGTCAATTGAAGCTAGACCACCATGGAAAACCCGGAAGCACTGATTGGTCCTGGGTTCGAATCCCGCGAGGCGAGGTCATGGATCCACACCGCCAATAAGGAGTCCCACAATAGGACGAAACGGCCTTCCAGGTTTTCCATAGTGATCCAGCTTCAATTGACTCATCATCTCAACTACTGAAATTACTAAAATCTCCACACAAAATCCCTTCTAATACATATTCACATCGTTTATTTCTCTTTTTCATTTTTCCATTGATAAATCTTTTCTCTATTTCTTTTTTTCTTCTTCTTCTCCTCATATTCATAGATGAGTTGTTTTTTGTTTGTTCTATCATTGAATCTTATTGGTTACATAATCATCATCATCATAATAATAATAATTATCGATTCATACGTATAAATTGGCCAGAATCACAAGTAAATATGAATATACCAATTGGATATCATGTAAATGTTCGTTTAAAAGATTCCGAAGGTAAGTATCCCCATTAATGATGAATGAATGAATTAGACATTAATATCTGTAATTTAGAATAATAATATCATCATGATTATAGAGTTAAATTCAGTTCAAGTTTCAATATTCTATTGGTAGTTTATTCATAATGAAAATAAGGTATGAAAATGAACCAATCAAATTTGAGAAAGCTATTTTTTGAGTTTTTGCGCAAAATTTAAAGTTGATTAACTTATCTTTGATCAATATAAAAACAGTTTTGTTTTATGCTTAGAATATTTAAATTTGTTTAAATAAATAAATTTATTTATTTGTTTATTTTTATGTTATAGAATAAAAATGTCAGTATTAAGCGTTATCAAATATTTCACACTTTTTATTACTACACCCGAACTAATGATAGAGAGTGAAGTAGTTGAACGTGTCGACCGCTTCACTTATCTTGGGAGTCTCACCAGCCCTTGTGGTCTGGTGTGTGACAAAATCTTAGCACGGATATAGAAGGCTCGACTAGCTTTTGCCAACTTGCGTCATTTATGGCGTAGGCGAGATATCCGTCTATCAACCAAAGGACGTGTTTACTGCGCAGCAGTTCGTTTCGTCCTACTTTATGGCAGTGAAACATGGCTGGTAAGAGTAAAGGATATTCGTAGGTTACTAGTATTCGATCATAGGTGTCTTCGAAGCATTACTCGTATATCCTGGTACCAGCGAGTAAGTAATGCAGTTGTTAGGAAACGGGTACTATGTAAGGATGGCAAATCAGTTGATGAAATAGTGAAACTTAATCAGTTGAGATGGCTGGGACACGTGTTACGTATGGTTGGGGACCGCGAGATGATAGCAACCAATGGTTAGAGACCTTGAATGACATGGCTCAAAATCGTTTGCAATGGCACAGGTGCATACACTCCTTGTGTTCTCCCAAATTTTGATCTCCTGATTCCTTGTTGTCTCTTTTTTCTCTTTCCAAATTTATTTCACTGGATTATACTCTCCAAACCCTAATCTTCCCGACTACTGCTTATACTCTTACTACCTGTACCACTACGGGATTTGAAACAACATTTGTATCTCTGTGTTTACATACAAAGTTCTACGTTGTTGACTGACTGATAACGGTTACCATGAGACTGCATTTCCTCACGTTGCTCAAAAGCCTTGTGGATCAAACCTTTAAGTCGAAGGTTGTGGGTGTGGCCTCCTAAGAAAACCACCTACTTTGGTCTGTGTATCCGGGCAGTATCATAGCCCATACACAAACCAAGTAACTTGTATGGTGCATGAATATAAATACAAAAATAGGTTATCATTTTTATACACATAAATTCGTCATTATCGATATCGAGATAAGGATAATCTTTCAATGATTTCATCTTTAAATCACTTCAACAAACTTACTATTTATAATTCTGTAGGCAATTATGTACTTTTTTTAAATTACTAAATCTATCTATAATTGTGAAAAAGTATCAAGAATTAATCATTAGATTATACAGTGATATAGTTCTACAAAAGTAGAACCCCATGCCCAATCCTTCTCCTTTATTCGGGCTTGGGACCGGCAGTAACTCTAGAAGAGATACAGGCAGAGTTATATGGGACTCTTATATATGTAATTACATTTTGTATACTGACTGATATAATGTGATTAGTGTAAATGAGTTAAAAGTACTTATAATTGATTGATCACTGTAGTTACCAATGTCATGTTTTTCAGGTTCTTCTTAGTGCAGAGGAAATTCGCCCCCAAATGCCCTGGTACGGCCGAGAGTGTGGAGGGTCCGCTCTCCCTCTCGAAATGCTCTCACATGACCATGCGTATATAGCCTCTGCCACGGAAGTCCTATTCACTGCCTTCTCGTGGCGGGGGTGTTGTTTACGAAATTGGGAGGACGAAAAGCGAATGTCCGATGCCTTAACCGGATTCCAAACCAAATCAATGGTGCACATGGGCTTCGGTTTGGGTACCAGGGCAGTATCACAGCCCTCACACATATCAAATGAGATTTGTGTGGCGCATATGTATTTGTTGCCTCCTTGTACCAATGTTTATGTGTTTAAATAATAATAATAATAATAAAAGTTTCGTACTATTTGGCATTCGTCCGTAAGATGTATCTGTAATCTTTGAGGTAACTAATGCTCCCTGACGGAATCGATCTCGTGTTACAATCTGAGTTATTACCACTGAGATATCCAAGCTATGACTGGACCTCATGTAAGACTGAAATAGATTTACAATTGGTTATTGGCTAGTGACAATGTAGGGTATCACATTTTATTCTGTTTTGTCATTATTTATTCATTTCATATTGTTTTTGTTTGTTACACTATTCAGGTAATTACGTTATCAGACCTTATACACCAGTATGCAATGATTTAACTCTTTCATCAATAATCAATACTGATTGTCAACAGGAAAAATGTGTAAATCAATGTTGTTTATTAATTAAAATTTATCCAGATGGGGAATTTTCTCAACTTGTGAATAATATTTCTACAAGTAAGTAGTGACTTGTCTTATGTTATAGAATATCTTGATGAAATTATAATTGACCGATGTCTCAATGAACCTAATTATGTTTTCCGCATTGTGATATGTACTACTTATGTTGATAGATATATAAGTAGTATGTGACACCAGTCGAAAATAGAATGCCTAGCAGGAGAAAGTTGAGAAGATCGAATAGACGAGGACGAGAACAGAAAGTAATTGGTATGGGAATGAAATATTAATAAAGTTCAAGACAACTGATTGACATTTTTCAAATGAATTATTCAACGTATGGTATTTATATTTATCAAGAGAATCTGTAATATTGTGCCGAGATACATCTGGTTTTCCCCATTTGTGTTCTCTTTCAGTAGACCATTACTGTTTTCCTTACTTGAGCTTGGGGAACTTTAACTAATTAGTTGAGTATTGCTTTTTTGTATGAATTAACTGTACTAATTTGAGTTGTCAATGGTATCTCTCGAGTACTGTTAAATGTACAAGGGCTACTCTATCACTAACCGGTTGTCCACACTATGAAATCATCCTGCTTCTTGAGGTACATGAAAAGAAAATTGAGTTAAAGATGATCTTGACGCTTGTGTTTAAGACCGATCACACCTAGACTTCTTATGTATAGTTTGTTATATGTTAACTCCATTCATTATAAACTTGACCCCAAAAGACGAAAATCGATAAGGCAAGTTGAAGTGTAATGCTTTTATGTTAGACGTTTTCTAATCCCTTCCTTCTGTCGTAGTGAAGGCAGCATCACTGCAGATATTAGTTGCCTCAAGGAAACGAGATTCTCACTTTGTCCGGTGTAGGTGCTTATCGTAGATGGAATGGTTTAATTTTGTAAATGTTTGGCTTTTCGTTTTTCATCTATTAATTCATTCTTGGAGAAAAAGTTGTGCTCAATGACTTGACTATGATAGAAATTAATGAACTTATCAAACAAAACATTAATACGAGGATATTCATTCACCTGAAGAAAAGAGTTTGAAATTAACAATGAAAACCTACGTACACTATTCCGTCAGATCGCATTTTTACACATAGTTTACCAAGACATATCAGTTCAGTAGACGTGCTCGTACTGTAACGTGATCTGTTTATTTATTTATTTGAACACATAGATATTCGTACAAGGGGGTACCAAATACATACACGCCACACAAATCTCATTTGATTTGTGTGAGGGTTGTGATACTGTCAGAGTGCCCAAACCGAAGCAGGGAGTTTACTTAGAGGTTCACACCGGGAGCCTTCGACCTAGAGGTCTGATCCACAAGACAGTAGGGCGATGTAAGGAAAGGCAGTCCCATGATAACCGTTGACCAACAAAAAGTCCATACGTCTTTTGTTTCCTTAGGATTCTAAAACCCCTGTGCACCATTGGTTTGAACCCGCCGTATCCACCAGCTTATTTATTTATTATGAATAAATTAGATGTAATTCTATAATAGTGAAATTTTCAATAGTTTTCCCACTATTTAAACTGCCACCAAATGCCCTCATACGGCTGAGGGTCCAGAGATTTAGCTCTCTCTCTCGGAATGCTCTCACATGGCCACGTGCATACAACAATTATTAGAAACGTTCTACTCACTGCGGTGGGGGTATTGTTTATGGAAAATGATATGACAAAAACTGAATATCTGGAGGTTTAACCGGGTTGGTGGATACAGAGGACCCACCTAGGGGAATTGGAAAACTCTGATTCCAAACCGATGGTGTACATGAACTCCATATCCTTAAGGAACAAATAACGTATGAACCTACTGTTGGTCACCGGCTACCATGGGACTACATCTTCTGACGTTGCTTAAAGGCCTTGTGGATCAGATCTTTAAATCGTAAGCTTCGATTGTGGTTCCCTAAGAAAACCACCAGCTTCGGTCTGGGCACTCGGGCATTGTCACATCCCTCATATAAATCAAGTGACTTGTATGGGGCATATAAATAAATTTAAACTATTCATCTATTTTGTTGTTTAACTAAATTGTCCTATTGTTCAATCTTTAACAGATGATACTATTGAAATCAGTCTACCAATAGGTAATTTCAATAGTAATCTAATCAAACAAATCATTCATAATAATAATAATAAGAATGAATCAAAATTGACCCATCTTATTATGTTAGCCGGAGGTAGTGGAATAACACCTATGCTACGGATAATCAATTATTTATTGACTGATCATCATCAAAATTTACAAACATTTAAAATACATCTAATTCATTTTAATCGTTGTCAAATGGATCAAATATTAATTTCATATTTTCAATCATTACATAATCATTTCCCAAATAAGTAGGTTGAAACATTTTTTTAATTTTTGCTTAGCAACTATTTCCTTCTTTTTTTTTTCGTTTCAATACTCAGATTTATACAATCAGAACTTTGCTATTGATTAGTTGGATCAAACCTAGTGTCAATGATCAGTTATTGTTGTTAAAGGTTATCGTGTTAATTATCGATTACCAAATGCTGATATTGTGGAATAACAGTTTTGAAAAGGAAATTGATAAGTCTTGTTAATTGAACGCTATATTCTGTTTCTAAGTTGCTATTCTCGTAACCTCCAAGCTAGAACTACACAGCGAATTAAACATGAAAGAAAAGGCGCAAAATATGTTCGTTTTAGTACAGAAAAATATAGGGTTGTCATAGTATTTTAGATGTCCTTGGGTTTCCCGGAAATTTTAGAATGCTAGTAAACAGTAGCAAACAATCAGAAACTCTATATGTGACCTTTCACTTTCTTGATGTTTCTGGCTAAACTTCAAATGAACGCGGATTGGATCAAATGCTTCTTAGTGTTTTCCTGATTCTTTCATGTCTTTTGCGAGAAGTTTTCTGGATCACCCCAATAGAAACTGGGTTAATAGTTGTAGTTTTGAACATCTAAGAACATGACCTAAGACTTAATAAGCCCCCACGTGCCCTGGTATGGCGGGGGGTGGGGAAAGTCATCTCTCCTTCTCGAAATGCTCTCATATGGCCACGTGTATACAACCACTACCAGCGAAGTCCTACTCACTTACCTGATTCCAAACCAATGGTGCACATGGACTCCAGTATCCTGAAGGAACAAATGGCGTATGACCCTATTGTTGGCCACCGGCTACCATGGGACTGCATCTGCTGATGTTACTCTACTGCCTTGTAGATTAAACCTTTAGGTCAAAGGTTCTGGGTGTGACTCCCTGACAAAACCACCTGTTTCGGTTTGGGGACCCGAACAGAATCCCAGTCTTCACACAAATCGAATTATTTGTGTGGCGGATGTCTATTTGGTGCCTCCTTCTATCGAAGTTTATGTGTTTAAATAAATAAATAATTACAACAACTTAAAAAAGTGGATCACTTTGTTCCTTTTTATTTATAGATTTTCCATTACTCACGTTCTATCTGAACCATTATGCATTACTGATGGTGATAATAATAACCATTGGTTATATGGACATATAACCGATGAATTATGTCGTCAATGTTTTGATCAAGAAATTATTGACAATTTTGAATCACAGACAATTTGTTTAATATGTGGTCCATCTGGTTTTAATGATACAGCTTTAAAGTGAGTACTATTCCAATGAATATAACATTCGATAGATAACATGGACATTTCAAAATTTTTATATTATTCTAAATTGTTTTGATTAATGCTTGAGAACTATTCTATATTACTTATTTATATAAACACATAAATATTGGTACAAGGAGGCACCAAATAGATATGCTTATCATAAATTATTCGATTTGTGTGAGGGATGGGATACTGTCCGGGTGGTGCCCAAACCGAAGCAGGGGACCTTCTTAGGGGGTCACATCCAGAGCCTTTGACTTAAAGGTCTAATCCACAAGACAGTGGAGCAACGTTAGGAGATGAAGTCCCATGGTAGTCGGTGTTCAACAATAGGTTAATATGCCGCATTTTCCTTCAGGATACTGGAGGCCATGTACATCGTTGGCTTGAAATCAGGGTTTTCCAACTCCCCTAGGTGGACTCTCCATTTCCACCAACTCGGCTAAGGCGCCGGACATTTGCTTTTTGTCTTCTCGATTTCTTAAACAACACCCTAACCGCGAGAGGGCAGTGAATAGAACTTCCCTGGCAGTGGTTATATGCACGTGGCCACTTAGGAGCGTTTCTAGAGGAAGAGATGACTCCCAATTCTTGGCCGTACCAGGGCATTTCAAGGAGATTCGGGTAACACTGTTCTTTTTTGTGGAAGCGTTTACAAATTTACAAATATTGATTTAGACAATTTAAGCGGAAATACATTGTTATGAACTCTTTTATTACGACCCAGCAACTCTTATTGTTTAGTATTCTTCGAACACCTAACTTCACTCGACCAATCCCCAAACCAAACACGGTTGAATGGGAACGTAATTAAATTTCGAGTAAACAAGGTTGAATGGGAGTAATAATCTTAATAAGAAAGACGTTAGCATATTTATAATTTTACACAATATGATTCTAGAGTCTTTTTTGCGAACCTGCTAGAGCTAATTGGTTAGTAAATGGACAATTAATGTGTTCCGACACATTCCTACACGAAACAAATTCTAATATCATCTATATCCCGCTAACACACATCCAGTTGACGAGTTTCAAGCAGGACAAAAAACGTCCTGAATCCCACTCTTAGGCACAACCCATCTATTTTAAATAGTATTGAGGCGATCTGCACAGTCTGTATATATTTCAACAAAAGAGTAAAAAATTTTGTCTTGTATGTCAGCCACAAGGAAATTCATATCCTTACTGATAACGTCAGTGATTTTGTTCATTATTAAATCAACCCATCCAGAGAACACATATTATTTTGTTGTGCTGATGTGGTATGGCAACTTGGACCGATGCATATGTTTGCCGGGTCCTAGGTTGTAGCTGACTGATTGACACATGTTAACAAAAACCATTCATCTATACTACAAGCTTTAATTATTATTTCACTGTGATTTTTTTATGGGGGAAAATTTGTACACTCCTGCAAATTTCTCATTTTCTGTTTCAAATCTTTTCGCTTCAATAACTTTGAACTTGCTCCTTGCCGGTTCATAGTAGTATACTTTAATCGCTTGTCTAGAGTTTATTATTTATTTATTTTAACACATAGATATTGGTACAAGGAGGCACCAAGTAGATATGCGCCACATAAATCATTCGATTTGTGTGAGGGCTGTGATACTGCCCGGGTGCCCAAACCGAAACAGGTGGTTTGCTTAGGGGGCCACACCTCGAGCCTTTGACCTAAAAGTCTAACCCACAAGGCAGTGGAGCATCGTAAGGAGATGCATTCCCATGGAAGCCGGTGACCAACAATTGGTTCATACGCCATTTGTTCACGCAGGATACTGGAGCCCATGTGCACCATTGGTTTGGTTTGGAATCCGGTTAAGGCACCGGACATTCGCTTTTCGTCCTCTCAATTTCGTAAACAACACCCCCGCCACGAGAAGGCAGTGAGTAGGACTTCCGTGGCAGAGGCTATATACGCGTGGCCATGTGAGAGCATTTGGAGAGGGAGAGCAGACTCTCCCCACTCTTGGCCGTACCAGGGCATTTGGGGGCAAATCTTTAAACCGAGGGATAAACAGCTTACTATTTATTCCAAAATGTTTTTATATTTGAATAGATTTTGTCAAGCATCTAGATGTTTTTTTAGTTTTGTAAGATGACAGAAAATATAACTTAACTGCAAACAATGAAGGTGTCAGTCCAATTTTGCAGTGCTTCCGATGTTGATTCTTTGTTAGGGAACACTAAATACATGTTAAAGAATTCTATTTTGCTCGAAGTCATTTTAGTACTGTGATGTATTATCGATTTATTAGAGTTTTATCAGCCAGTTAGCTACAACGTAGGACCATGCACATATGTGCATCGGTTCAAGTTTCCATACCTTATTGACACAACAGATAGAATACCGGATTCATAGTTCGTAGAAAGAAAGATATGAATCGATTTTCATTTTTCATGGTTTAAACGAAGACAAAAAGTGTATACACTTACACCATTGTGTTAACTTTGTTTTTTGACCTTCGCATTTATCTATCATATCGATGTTTTCGATTGTGAATGGTTCAGGTTTTGTATGGCGAAATTCTACACTTACTTGCGTAGAAAAAAAGGATAAACTGTTTCAATTTACCGTCAACCACACAATTAGTGGACGAAAAATGTTTCTATTTAAGCGATGCTACTGATATTCAGCAATAATGATCTGTACCATGTAAAAGCTACAAGGAACAATGTGCTGTTATTTTCCTGTTATTGTAGACATTGAATTCAACATAACCCTAACATTTTTAAAAACGGAACTCTGTCAAAATGTTTGATTTTAACGAGAGAATTTATATTTCTCGTCGTTAGTCGACCTATGCTTTGCACAGTCGTATATAAAATAGAATTCGATATATATTTGCATCGGTTCAAGTTATCACACAACATTAACAGTGATATACAAACATCATGATACATCTCAGATTTTTAGAAGTATCAGTAGTAGTAGGAAAGGTTAAGTAGTAAAGGAAAAAATCAAATCGAGATTCGAAGATTCAACATCTGAAGGAATGAATGCATCTGTGCCATTGGAAACTATTTTGAGGTGTATCACTCAGTCTCTAACGATTAATTATGATGATCACATGGGCTATAACCAGACAGTCTAGACCTGTTATTATGGCTCAGTCCAATTGTCAATGACCTCGTCGGCTGGTAACGCGTCTTAGTTTGGCCGCCCCTTTCTTCTACTTTACTCCTACGCGAGATAACGTCCATCAAGGTAGGCGGTGGTTGAACATACACAATACATGTCCCAACCACTTCAGATGGTGGAAAATCACTATCTCATCAGCCAGTTCCCCAGTTATACTTAGTGCTCTGTCCCTAACCTCAACATTGCTCACTTAGTGATCCCAAAACGTGCGGGTAATGCTTTGTAGGTATTCACGATTGACCTACAAATATACACTATTCCTAGTAGTCATACTTCAAATCCATAAAGTAGAATAAAACTTATGCATAGTAAATCCATCGTTTGATTGGTGGACAGCCATCTCATCTACGTTACTATACATATATAATCGAATTCGGACACCACCGAATAACAAAATACTTATAGAATATACTTTTTTTTCTCATTGTATAAAAAAATTCAAATTTTGCTGTCTTATTCCTCTTCCAATAGTTGAAATCATGAGTCAATTGAAGCTAGACCACCATGGAACACCTGGACGGTCGTTTCGTCCTAGCATGGGGCTCCTCGGCAGTGCGCACCCACGATCCCGCCCCCCGCGAGATTCGAACCCAAGACCTATCAGTCTCGCGCTTAACCACTGAGCCGGCATTCAACGGTGTTAATGTCTAACTTCAACTAATCTACGAAATTGCGCCACCGTATACCACCGTCTTCAGTGAGCTGATATCTCACAACAGATCTGGTTCTGGGTTCGAATCTCGTGGAGGCGGGATCGTGGATGCGCACTACTGAGTTTCATATTAGGACGAAACGGCCGTCCAGTGCTTCCAGGTTTTCCATGGTTATCTAACTTCAATTGACTCGTGATTTCAACTATTGAAAATTACTAAAATCTCCACAAAACCCCTTCTGATAATTATTCCTCTTTGTTTAAATCAATTTTAGACTAACAAATCAATGGTCTATTCCTAAAGAACGTGTACATGTCTTCAAAGGATGAAAACAAACTATGTAGTTTATACAAATCCAATAACTTTCTAATGAATTCCTTTACTCTAGTCTTATTTTTTTTTAATTTTTCAAACCATTTTATGGTATATTCCTATTTTGTTTGCTCTCAATGACAATATGTATATTATTTTGAATTGTGAAATTGTATCTCACATAGTAACTAATCTATGTCACCATGATGATGTACTCATATTTTGGGCAAATGTGTCACATGTATATATCAATAAATAAATATGTAGACATATTTAGTCAAGTGATTTCCATTTGTTTATCTTCTTTTTTGCTCATTCTTTCATAACATATTCCTCATTAACAGATGTATTACTATTGGGATATTAATCATTTTGTAAACACAATCTTGAACTATTCATTACCTAAATAACTATAGTTGTATCATGAACGAGAATCATATAGTAAATGCTTCATTTGTAAAATATTCATCAATTGTTTCATACTTGTTGTTTTCTTCTCTTCAATCTTTTCAACATTCCACTCTCGATTAGTGACATATACTACTTATATTTATCGACATCAGTAGCACATATCACAGTTGTGGCTTGTTGTTATTGTGGATTTAGATAAATTTTTTTTCAGCTCAAGCAAGACGGAAATAAAAACGTCGTGAATCTCACTCTTCTACATTATTCTCAATGATTCTATTTGTTCTCAAATGATTGATGGATAGAATCTCCTTTTTGTGTTGATCTCTTAATGATTTCTTTCGGTTTGTATTGTACATACAAAAAAATAAACAAAGAAAAGTATTTCCCACTAGGTGTATTAATTTCTTTCTATTGAAGCTTTTGATCGCACTAATAATTAATGCGTAGAACTCTGGTGATCAAAAAGCACAAGACTATCTGTAAATATAATGCTGTTATCACTAAAATCTATGAAATGCATTACAAATATCAATTCGTAACGCATCCATAGGAACTATCGTGTTCGCACAATTAAGGAGGGATACTTCCAAAAATGGACATATATATATAGCTTTTTTAAAACGAAATATAATAAGCAATTGGCAGTTCATAACCGTGTCAAAACTAAAATTGTTATCATTTCTTTTATTACGATTCAGCTATTCTTATTGCTTAGTATTCTTGGACAATATTTCACTCGACAAGTACCCAAATCAGAACACAGTTGTTGAACACGAACGAAATTATATTCTAAATAACAAGGTTAGATGGAAGTAGGAAGCATAATGAGAAAAATGTTAGTATATTTATAGTTTTTACATGAGAAGATTCTAGAGTCTTCTCTAAGTACTCACTACCGCTAATTGGATAAGTAGTGTTAGGTCCCGACAAACATAATGAATGGTAACTTTCGGGATCCATTTATGGACCAATACTAAACGTACATTTCTATTGTATAATTGTTAAGTGACTAAACTGTTCATATTCATGTCTCTTTTATTATGAGCTTTATTCTGACCCATAAACTATTATTATACGATTTACCATTCTTGAATTATGCCCTGCCTATTAATTACTACCTCCCTCATTCACAGCCACATTTGGCTAAATCTTGTACAAATTTTGTTTCCTATTTTATGGTACGTTGTGGTCTGTTTGGTTGGTATATAAACTCAGTATGTTTGAAATATAATTATTCATATCGCAGAGGCTCGGATTGGTGTTCTGGACTTAATTGGCTGGGCGGTTTTGGGCTATAACAAGTAGCCAATCAGAGTGCACCAACATAATCTTGCACGGAACATGCTTTAGCCCAATCTATATTCTGCTAACAATAGTAGACATTATTGAAATAAGAACTGTTAGAATACAATTGATGCTTAACGGATACAGTAGAGTTAAAAATAACTGTTCCAAATAGTAAAAAGATATAGTTGCATTAATAAGTAGATTGAATGCAATCAGTTTATCTAATTATTTGCACAATTACGGACAGATATTATAACTTAAACACTTAATCCATTAGGATTGAAATTGACTACTGGATATATATAGGAGCAAAGGGGTCAGGATTGATTGTCATGTATTAGAATTGCATGAACGAAGAAATGCTAGCTTGGTTATGTTTTCAAATTGCAGTCATTATTAACGGTACACAAATACCTGATACGGCCAACGGTGGAAAGAACCATCTTTCCCTCTCGAAGTACTGTCATACAACCATGCGTTTATAGCCCTTGATAAGGGAGTCCTACTAATGCGGCGGATATGATGTTTGAGATTTCAAGAGGACGAAGAGCGAACGTCAGGGATTCACACTGGGCTGACAAATACGAAGGATCCATGGTGTACACGAGCTCCAGAATGCTGGGGGAATTTTGCTTAAATGCCCTAAGGATTAAACCTCCAGATCAAAGGCTCGGAGAGTGGCTCTCTAAGGAAGTAGATTATTTCGGTTTGAACGCCTAGGAAGTATCCCAGCCCACAAGAGTTTTATGTTACGCATACTGTTTTCAGTGTCCAGCCGTGCCAGATTTTACGCGTTTTAAGTAGAAATACATAATCAACAAGTAAAAAGTTATATCGTCTAGTTCACAGATTAAAATTATGTTCAGATATTAATGTCTTTTCTTCCTCTCTCTTTATTTATCACATCACTAACCTTGTAGTGAACAGAACACAGGTGGGGACAAACGAAAGTGCCTGACTTGTTAATAGAATCAAATAGTAAATGCTTAATTTACAAAATGTTCACCAATTGTCTTAAAATGACTTAGACTTCATTGTTCTTGCATCTTCATACAAATTGCATTCTGTTTCCATTCTTTACTATTCGATCCTCTTGTCTCTCTGCTGCCAGACATTCTGTTCACGACTACGACCATCTACTACTTATGTCAATATAAGTGGCACACACCACAACCTGTATTTAAATATGCTCGCTAATCAGTCTTATCTATAACTTAAAAACTTTGTCCAACATTTATTAAAACCGATAATCGTAGTCACCACAAATCAATATCTGAGGACCAATGCAAGTTTCGACAGATAAGCTAAGTATTAGATTATACCTCAATGATCTATATAATTGAGCACTCCTGTAACGAGATATCTAGAATAACCAAGAGAAAAGCTATTCCCTATCCCGCTGAAAGTGTGGTAATTCAATTGACTTTTAAAATAAAAAATCTCGTCATCTAACCAAGTATAAAATGGAAAAAAGCAGTCAATTAATCTAAAATTTATTCTAATTGTTTTAGTGAGGGTGAGGGAGATAAGTACAAAAATGATTATGATTATTATTATACAAATGATCATGTACCGGTTTTATTCACAGCAGTATTAGTAGTAGAAGTATGTGTCACGTTGTTATGTGTCGCCAATTGATCAGCTTTTAATAGGAAATCTTTTGCTTTCAATTCATCCATCTCAACACCATCACCATTGGAGTACATTTTTGCAATATTACGACAACAGAATTCATGGCCCAATTTACAACCTTCCATCCATGCTTTGAATGCTTCAACACGTAGACGACTACTATCGTTACTACCAGTAGGATTAGGAGATTTTTCTGAATTAGTTGATTTGTCATTTTCTTTAGCTAATACCATTGCTGCACCACCAAGATGAAAACAACTCTCTGGCACTCTGTTTTGGCAACCTAATTCGAATAGTGACATTGCAACAGATAAATTTGGTGCATGGCTAGCTATACCATCAGCAACTAGACGTCCAGCAGCCTGTGTCATAAAAAGTGCATAGAAGGCAGAAATTTGTGTTACAGGAAGTGAATTTATCAAAACTACGGGAACCATTAAAGACTGATGGAGTAAAAATAATAAAATGTTTGTTTAGAAAAATGCTGGAAAAGATTTGCAGCTCAGATAGATGCTTTTACCAATATTGTAGTAGCTAATACTACGCCAAGCCTACATTGGTTATTTTAACTTATGGACAGATCAATTTATTCATTCTTTTCAAGCTAGATTTCAACTTTATCACCTATCCCCTCATTAACCCTAATTATTTTCATATGAACGTATGTGTATTAATTTTTTATCCTATTCATTACGTGTCTGTAACTTATTTTTGGCCTGACTATAAATATTGAGTCACGCTTGATTAAATCAAGTTAGCTCACTCACCTTCTCGATTGGACATCATTTCGTCTTGTTTAGTTTGCCTGAGGAGAGTTCACTCTCCCTCTCGAAATGCTCTCACATAGCCACATGCATACAGCCACTGCCAGGGAAGTCTTAATGCCTTCTTGAGACGGGGACGTGGTTTACGAAACTAAGGACGAAAAGCGAATGTCCAGCGCTTTAACCGGGTTGGTGGATACAGAGGACCCACCTAGGAGTCGGAACATCCTGATTCCAAACCAGTGGTGAACATGGGCTCCAGGATCCTGAGGAAACAAGTGGCGTATAAACCTTTTGTTGATCATCGGCTGCCATGGAACTGCATCTCCTGACGTTGCTTCACTGCCTTATTGATTAGACCTCAAGGTCAAGGGGGTGGTTCCCCAAGGAAACCACCTGCATCGGTCTGAGTAACTAGGCAGTTTCTCAACCCCCACAGAAATCGAATGATTTGTGTGTTGTATATATATTCGATGCTTCCTTGCACCAATATTGGTGTTTAAATAAACCAAAATATCTATCCACAATTCATCTGCAATAATAAGAGAGGCAGTTATCATGTCAAGTGACTAAGCCTGGAGCCATTAACAAACTGTCAAATTTAAAACTATCAAAGATCACATACGCCAGTCAGACGTTTATTGTGATGAAATTTTTCCTGCTACTGAACTACAAAAATCATTAAAGGAGCAAAGAATATATAACTCCCGTTTATTTTATCGAGGAAAAGGAATTCGGGACTGATGAATAACAAATAGTCTAAATATGACTAATGCCGTGCTCGTTGGATAAGTCGAAATCCGTATGTATATTTATATAAAGGGGGGTATTAAGTGCAAGGTTGTCATTAACGGCTATAGTGATACTAAAAAATATGCAATGGTTCTGTACACAACAACCAAAACCACGTTTGCGTACTAAGC